TTTGTCTCAAGGGTCAGTCCAGTCCCACATTAGGCAGGGGGTGGGTCTCAGTGCAGTGTGATGCAAATGAATGGTAAGTCCCAGAATCTCAGTTTTCTCACCTAGGAGCTGAGGCAATGACAGAACCTGCCTCTATTGAGATCAGCTCCAATAGTGCTCTCAGGACAGGGCTTGGTCCTGGGGCTGTCAAGTAGCCAGCACTGGAACTGGGACCTGTGTCCTCAGATAAGCTCTGTCTGGATTGCACTCCTGCTCTGTGCTGGCGCTTTGGCCAGAACTACAGGGCTTCCACTGTAAAGACAGAACTAGTAGCTTGTAGGGTTGGGAAAGCCCATACTTTGGGATGTAAGGCCAGTCCTCTTATTTCATTACTTTTGCTTTTTTAAATTTTTAATCCTCGCCTGAGTATAATTTTCCAATTTGTTTTAAAGAGTGGAAGGGAGAGGGAAAGAAAGAGAGAAATATTGATGTGAGAGAAACACATCGATTGGTTGCCTCCTGCACGTGTCCTGGGCCCTGGGGCTCAGGAGGAGCCTGCAACCTATGTGCTTGCCCTTGACCAGAATGGAACTCAGGACACTTCAGTCCTCAGGCCAGCGCTCTATTCACTGAGCCAAACCAGCTAGGGCTGGTAATCCTCTTGTTAGACCCCTTCCAAAAAACGGTGACCGCCCCTTGAAGCAATGCATTCTTTGTTAGAACCTTCCTTCTGCTCCCTTCTGCCTATAAACACCTTCCATTATTACAGCTTTTCATAGCTTCTCCCTGTTTGCTGGATGGAATGCTGCATGATTCATGGATCAATGAATAAAGCCAATTTTATCTTTAAACTAGAGGTCTGGTGCACAAATATTTGTGCACTCAGGGGGGTCCCTCAGCTCGGCCTGTGCCCTCTCGCAGTCTGGGACCCCTCAGGGCTGTCCACCTTCTGGCTTAGGCCCACTCCCCGGGGGATGGGGCCTACACTGGCAGGTAGACATCCCTCTGGCAGCCCGGGAGCCCTTGGGGAATGTCCACTTGCTAGCGGGGAGCGGGCCTAAACTGCAGTCAGACATCCTTAGGGCTGCTGAGAAGGCTGGAGAGGCTCCTGCCAGCACCGCTGTACTGGTAGCCCTCAGCCTGGCTTGTGGCTGAGCAGAGCTCCCCCTGTGGGAGCGCACTGACCACCAGGAGGAAGCTCCTGCATTGAGCGCCTGCCCCCTGGTGGTCAGTGTGTGTCATAGTGACCAGTCATTCCCAGTCATTCTGCTGTTAAGTTCAATTTGCATATTACCCTTTTATTATATAGGATAGAGGCCTGGTGCATGGGTGGGGGCCGGCTGATTTGCCCTGAAGGGTGTACTGGATCAGGGTGGGTGTCCCGCTGGGGTGCCTGGCCAGCCTGGGTGAGGGGCTGAGGGCTGATTTCAGCCTGACCGCACCCCCTTCAGGGTGGGGGTCCGAGAAACACATCGATTGGTTGCCTCCTGCACGTGTCCTGGGCCCTGGGCCTCAGGAGGAGCCTGCAACCTATGTGCTTGCCCTTGACCAGAATGGAACTCAGGACACTTCAGTCCTCAGGCCAGCGCTCTATTCACTGAGCCAAACCAGCTAGGGCTGGTAATCCTCTTGTTAGACCCCTTCCAAAAAACGGTGACCGCCCCTTGAAGCAATGCATTCTTTGTTAGAACCTTCCTTCTGCTCCCTTCTGCCTATAAACACCTTCCATTATTACAGCTTTTCATAGCTTCTCCCTGTTTGCTGGATGGAATGCTGCATGATTCATGGATCAATGAATAAAGCCAATTTTATCTTTAAACTAGAGGTCTGGTGCACAAATATTTGTGCACTCAGGGGGGTCCCTCAGCTCGGCCTGTGCCCTCTCGCAGTCTGGGACCCCTCAGGGATGTCCACCTTCTGGCTTAGGCCCGCTCCCCGGGGGATGGGGCCTACACTGGCAGTCAGACATCCCTCTGGCAGCCCGGGAGCCCTTGGGGAATGTCCACTTGCTAGCGGGGAGCGGGCCTAAACTGCAGTCAGACATCCTTAGGGCTGCTGAGAAGGCTGGAGAGGCTCCTGCCAGCACCGCTGTACTGGTAGCCCTCAGCCTGGCTTGTGGCTGAGCAGAGCTCCCCCTGTGGGAGCGCACTGACCACCAGGAGGAAGCTCCTGCATTGAGCGCCTGCCCCCTGGTGGTCAGTGTGTGTCATAGTGACCAGTCATTCCCAGTCATTCTGCTGTTAAGTTCAATTTGCATATTACCCTTTTATTATATAGGGTAGAGGCCTGGTGCATGGGTGGGGGCCGGCTGATTTGCCCTGAAGGGTGTACTGGATCAGGGTGGGTGTCCCGCTGGGGTGCCTGGCCAGCCTGGGTGAGGGGCTGAGGGCTGATTTCAGCCTGACCGCACCCCCTTCAGGGTGGGGGTCCCTGCTGGAGTGCCTGGCCAGCCTCGGTGAGGGGCTAAGGGCCATTTTCAGGCTGGCCACACCCCCTTCAGAAAGAGGGGTCCTGCTGGGGTGCCTGGCCAGCCTGGACGAGTGTCTGATGGCTGTTTGCAGAATGGCCAAGCTTCCAGTTGTGGCTGGCTGGAAGCAGGTATCTGGGGTTTATTGATCTTCTATAATTGAAACTTTGTTGCCTTGAGTGGAGCCGACAGCCGGCCAGGGCAGTCGGGAAGCTTGGCTTCCTCCATCGCCGGGGGCAACCCAAGCCTCTTGCTTGCTCCAGCTTTGTGGCTGCCGGCGGACATCTTTGTTGGGTTAATTTGCATATAGTTGCTCTGATTGGCTAGTGGGCGTGGCTTGTGAGTGTAGCGAAGGTACGGTCAATTTGCATGTTTCTCTTTTATTAGATAAGATGTACTCAGTTAAACTTTTAACACTCCTCCATTTCTTGAATCAGTGATATCACCCTCATTTAGAAAGCCACCCCACCCCTCACCCTATAACGAATCCAAACAAAGCAGGAGGGCCAGTTCCCAACCCCCACCCCCAGCTGGCACCCAATGAGAACTTCCTCGGGGAGGAGGGGGTCAGGGGGGGGATGTGGAATCCTCCAGCCTGGGCTGAGAAGGCTCTTGGGAGAACCACCAAGCCCTGGCTCAGCTCCTAGATGGCGCTGCAGCCTAACCCCTCAGCACCCTGCCCCATTCCACCCATCCCTGTGGGACACTGGCCATCTTTTACTTTCTTCAAAGCCCCCACCCTCCAGCCCCACAGGAGTGAGAGCTTTCAGGATTTCCAGCCCCGTTGAGTCCTCCAATGAGCAATGAAGAAACAAGAGTCAGGAATGCAGTGGGAAACATGGCTTTATGACCAGGAGAGGCTGGGAGTCCTGCCCAGTGTCCAGGGAAGGCCAGGGGCTGCCAGGAGGGGTGTAGGGAAGGGGCTCCAGGCAGGATCTTTTCCTTGCCACTGGCTTAGGAGGAGCAGACGAAGGGCAGAAGTCTTTCGCAACATGATTGTCGCCAATAACCACCTGGCAATAGAGAACACAGTGATGTCAACAGTTGGCAGAGTGTGGCCCGTGCCCCCCTTGCCCTCCAGTTGTCATGATATGTTTGCCACACACCCCCACCTGCTTGTTGAGTTTTCACCCCAGGAAGACAGGGTGCTGAGTGCTTCCTGGGGCTCCTGGCTAATCCTCACAATGACTCCCAGAGGGAGGTGCTGTCCTCATCCCCATTGCACAGATGAGGAACCTGAGGTTCAGCGTGGAAACTACTTGTCTGTATGGCAGTGGGCCGGTGGCAGGGCTGGGATGGGAACTGTGGCAGCCTTTCTCCAGACTGTATGGCCTTAGCCATAGTCCTGAGTCCCTCACGTCTGGCATTAAGCCATTCCTCACTCACACATCTCTCTCTCATCCCCCGTCCACACCTTTCATTCACCTCGGCTACTCTCAATTGTCACATTAGTAGCAGAGGAAGGAAAGCAGCCCTCAGACCCCCAGCCAAGCTTCGTCTGTGAGGATGGAGAGCCCCATCCAGCCCTCACACAGGGCACCCCCTCACCCTACATCTCAGCCCTCCTCACAGACAGGACGTTGGTTCTCAAGTTGTGGGAGGCTGTGAGTTTGAGGAAGTGTTGCTCAGGCAGCTCAAAGGGACAGTGTCTAAGAGTCCACCTTGCCATCCCTTCCCTTTGCCCTGGTGCCAGGTCCCCCTCACCTCTGGTGGATAGGGTCACACAGTGGCCGTGCCCAAGACGATGAGCCCAGTGGCTAAAATTTACAATGCTCCCATCAATCCAGTGTAACTGGGGGCACTGGAAAAAGAGAGGGGATAGGCTGGGTCAGAGGCTGAGGTCCAGGAAGACAGGCAGATCCAGAGGTTCCAGAAAATGCCCACTGAGTGTCCCTTTCTAGGGCACTGCCCACCCAGCTAGGAGCCAGATATCCTGGACACCCACCCCTGACGGTTTGCAGGCAATGACAATGGAAGAGCAGTGGTCCCTCCCCGCCTCACACAGCCAGGCTTCTCAAACTTTCTGTGAATACAAGTCTCTTGTGGATCTTTTTAAAATGGAGATGCTGCCCTATCCGGTTTGGCTAAGTGGACAGAGCGTCAGCCTGCAGACTGAAGGGTAACAGGTCAATTCCAATCCAGGGCATGTACCTCGGTTGCGTTTACATCCCCAGTAGAAGGTGGGCAGGAGGCAGGTGATCGATGTTTCTCTCTCATCGATGTCTCTGGCTCTCTATGGCTCTCCTTTCCGTAGCAAATATAATAGCACTTATTCACCCACTATCCCAGAACCACTCTGAGAGAAGGACCCCATTTTAGACATGAGGAAGCCATTCAGCTTTAAGTGACCAAGCTGGGGAAGGAATGGATCTCTGACTCCAGTGGTGAGCTGGTAACTGTTTACCAACCAGCTCTGAGGGAAGGTGAGAAAGCAGAGTGAGGGAGGAACCCTGATTTGTAACAACAGCCATTTTCCATGGTCGAAATACACCTGCCATGGCAGATTTCATGCCACAAGAATGAAGTCACTGAACATGGAATTGGGAAGAGATTTGCACAATCACCAGTTCTCTCTAGCCAGCAACAGCCAGCTCCCCCACTGCCTCCCACAGGAAGGTCACTCAGCTGCTGGAATGAGGCTGGTGCCAGAGAGAACTTCCTGTACCTGGAGCTGCCCCTCACTTACCCTGGCATAGACAGTGCCTCCAATCCAGACATTGCCATAGAAGTTATTGCCGGAGATCTGGATATTCATGTTGGTTTGCTGGTTGTGGATAGAGGCCAGGGTGACACGGTTGCAATTCCTGCAGGTGTTCTGCAGAAAGAAGAGGTGGAGGAGAAAATTCCCTGGGTTTTTCCCCCCTCATGTTCCTGAGCCTCCATGAGAGAGTTCTCCATCCCTGGTCAGGTCAGAAATCAGGGATCTACTTGCTCCTTCAATTCCATCTCTTGCCCCTTTATCTGTCAACAGGAACTTCTTGCAGGAAATAATAATAATCCTGAGAATAATCTCAGCCACCATTTACTGGCAGTTTACAATGACTCAAGGACTGATCCAAATGCTTTCCATGTATTACCTCATTTAAACCTCACCACAACATAAGAGGTTGGTACTATATATCTCCATTGTACAAGTGAAGATCCTGAAGCTCTGAAGGGTGAAGTGACTTACCCAGGTAACATGACAATCACAGGTGGAGCCAGGGTTTAACACAGGTATATCTAATACCAAAGCCTTTGTCCCAATCAGTGATTCTCAAAGTACTGTCTCTAGACCAACAATGACATCATCACCTGGCACTTGGTCCTAAATGCAAACTCTTGGGCCCCACCCCAGACTTGCTAACCCTGAAATCTATGCTTCAACAAGACCTCTAGGAGAGTCTGCTGCTCACTAGCCTTTGAGAACCACTAGTGTAAATGAATAGGGAGCAGGAGATGGAACCCACTCTCTGCTCCTGCCCCTGGTCCTCCTTCCACAGTAGCCCCATGCCACTTACCCGAGCGTCTGCAAATGTTTTGCGAGTCTTCACAAACCGGTAGGGTCTGTTCTTGTACCCAGCACTGACCAGAATTGTCACTGTGTCCTATTCCCTGGGGCACTGAAAGTTCTCATCTAGGGCACCTGGGTCCGACTCCATGGCCTTCTCGTCCTCAAAGGCATCTTGGCAGCTGGAAGCCTCCACCTGCTCTCCTTGGGAATGAATGGCCTCCTCAGTCAGGACCAGCTCTCCCTCCTGCTGCCCTGAGCCTTCCAGATCCTGGCTCAGGTCTGCCTGTGACTCTTGGCTGTCCTGATAGATGGCATCATTCCCTGAGGAGAAGAGGTAGCCTGCCATCAGGTCTTGAGTTCCTTCTTCCAGGACCACCAAAGCGCCAACCACCCCACTCAAGACTTCCTAGTGCCTCCTTCTGGACGCTAGGCCAGAAGGATCTCCTCCCTGTGGGGTGAGGTGAGAACTCACACAAAGGGGTGAGCACCTGGCGCTGGCTGACAGGTGTGTATTTCGGGGTAGGAAAAAGCTGCTCTGAGAAGGTGGGTGGGTTTTGCTTTAGGAGGAGCCTTGACAAAATATGCAGGTCACATTTCTGAGTCCAGGAGAGATCTTAACTGAGGGGAGCTGGGTCCACTGAAGAAGGAAAAGCTGTGGCCTGGCCCAGAGAGAGCCAAAGAGGTGCCAGAAAGAGGAGAAGGGGTCAAGCTGGATGAGAAGGGAAAGGAGGATTTACCCAGATGAAGAGCATCAACTGTCCCCAGCAGGAGGAGCAGCAGGAACATGGGGAGTTTCATAGTCACTGTTCTTGTAGCAGGGACACAGCTTCACTTTACGCTTTGGGGCTGTCCTGTGTGTCTGAAAGCCCCTGTCACACAACAGAGATGCAATGTTTGTTTAAGTAGATGATTAAAGGCAAACTAGAGAGCTTCCTTCTCCCCAATGAAAAGACACTGACCTGGAGAATCAAGAAAAGTCCCTTTTACCCAAGCGCTTTATCACTGGCCCCTGGAACAGCACTTAGCCCAGACCCTGCCCCTGCAGGAGCCGGTCTGCTCAGGGTCAGGGCTCATTTCACTACACTGAGGACGAGTGGAAGGACAGTGGCCATCAGAGTCCTAAGGACAGGCCTCCTAGGTCTTTGCCATATAGGCTTCTGCTTCCTGCCAACCCTTGGACCCCTCTTTACTGGGCAGCTGGGGGAGCACTCACCTCTCAAGTGTCAGAGACCTCTACTTTGGTGTCTCTGACTGCTGAGTACCAGAGGCAGTCCTTATATTGGGCTTTTGGGGCTGTGGGAAGAGGCCAGGATGATTGCCCAGATGGGGGTGCTGGGCAGGGGAGCTGATAATAAGGCAATTGCTCAATTGTCTCACCTGCTCGCCACTGAGACTGCAGGGACCTTCCTCCTGGGGACCCCTGACACACATGGGTGTCCAAACACCCAGGTGTGCTGGAGAAGACCCCAGATGTCTACTGTCCACATATACTTACTGTTAGCACCCCTAAAGTGCCCCAGTCATAACCCCGGGAGCAGCCTTCTTCTGGTCACTATCCCAGCCAATGAAGTGGAGGATCCTAGGATGCTGGGGGACCACGAGGAGAGAAGAAAGGAGGTGCCCACCTCCTGAGTGCTTGTCTAGACCAGGGACTTCATATGCATCCCATCCCAGAATCCTCACCTTCTCCTCATTCCCATGAGAATGTATGATGACTCTAACTTCACAGGTGTGAAAACTGTGATTCAGAGAGAGAAAGTCCCTTGCAAGTGTGCACAGGAAGAGGGGGATCTGGGATTCCTAGTTCTTTGGCTCCAAAACCTTCTATCTATTATCTATCTATCTATCTATCTATCTATCTATCTATCTCCCTCTCTCCTTCCCTTTTCCCCTCCTTCCCTCTTTTTCTCCTTCTCACTCTAGTTCTCCCTCTCCCTCTTTTGTTATCTTCAATGTTTTAAAACCTTATGCTCTTTCTTCTATGCTATAGATCTAGATCAAAGTTCTCAATATTTGTACTGTTACTAGTTGGAGTAAAGTAATTCTTTTTTGTGTGTTGGCGGGGCCTAGGGGGTGCTGTAGAAGTTTAGCAGCATCCCTGGTCTCTACTCACTAGATGTCAGGAGTACCTCCCCCCATCAATCTTTGTGGGGGGGGGGGGGGGGGGGGGGGAGACTATATAAGTTTAGCAGCATCCCTGGTCTCTACTCACTAGATGTCAGGAGTACCTCCCCCCATCAATCTTATTGTCCCCCAAAGACTATCAAAAACATCTCCACATGTTTCCAAATGTTCTCTGGAGAGCAAAGTTGCCTCCGTTGATGATCACTGGTCTAGAAAATGCCATTTAGTCCAACCTCAAGGCATATCTTCAGGCAAAGATGTGACAGCTGCAATGGAAAGCTTCGTGCATAATCTTTCAGACACACTGGTGGCCACCCTCCCCACCCCCATACTCATCTCCCACCAGCCCTCTCTCACCACCAGGTCAGGACTAGGAGGCACTGAGTGAGGCACTCATCTCAGGTGCAAAATTTAAGGGGGCACTAAAGAATTCAGTAGTCAAGATAAATGAATAGCTCTCATGCAATCTTTCTTGGAAGTAAAAATAAATGCAAAAACATCTGTGATGATTAAAATATCAAAACTTTAATCAACCCAGCTCCAGCCACATTCACTGTCATCCAAAGAGAGGCCAACAAATGCCGAGCCCTGGCCATGCTGGATATCCTTGCCGGGAGGTAGCATCCTTGGCAGGATGGGTGACCCACTGGGCAGTCATATTTCTTCCTCAGACCCCTGCTCAGCCTTCCAGGCCTCAGGGCACCAGGCACAGGAAGCCCAGAGGGTGAAAAGGCCTTTCCTGCCTCTGCTGTCCCAGGTGACCTACAAATGGAGAAGTATCTGAGAGGTCACTCTGGGCCTGATTGCAGGGTAAAGGTCTTGGCTGTTATCTCTCTGGCCCAACGGACATGATCCTCAGCTTGTCTACCGACATGGGGTGGTGGTAGTGGGGGGATTGGCCAATTATGGGTCCCCAAAACCTGGTGTTGGATTTACAGCTTGAGTCCACCCTAGTGGGGGAGAGGGAAGGGCTAGACACCTCCCCAGCATTCTCCTCCCTCTGGGGCCCAGACCAGGGGCATCATATCACTCAATGGTAGGGATGCTCAGCTGCTCTCAAGAGCCAGCCTCACGATAGGCTTTACACACACTTTCCCTTGAACAGCCCTGTGTTACAGATGTGGAAATGGCACCTCAGAGAGCTTGAGCAAGTTGCCCAAGATCACACAGCAAGTCAGAGACAGACCTAAGGGCAGGTCTTCCAGCTCCTTGTCCCCCCATGGCTGCCTGTCCTCTGCCTCCTCTCATTCACCTCTCTTCTCTACAGCCTGCCCACCCATCCCTGGCCCTATCAAATCCCAGGCAAATACATTCCAATGACTTCAGTGACCACAGTAATGTCTGATTTAAAACTGGAAATGTGATTTTTGAAAACCCACCACAGACCATACACTTTGCTACTCGAAGGCTCTGACATCCATCACCCCACTTAATCTTTAGAATCATCCTTCAAAATAGGTATTGCCGTCTCTAGTCTACACACCTACTACAGAAGCTCAGAGAGGTTCGATGACCTGCCCAAGTTCTTACAACTAGAAAAGAGTGGCACGTCTGATTCCTAGGTCCTTGCTTCTTTGATACCCCCACACAGTCGGCATTACTCCCAGACAGTCCATCCAACACTGCC